AATATTATATACTCAGATAAAAGAAGCCACCTTGCAGTGGAAAATGCAGCAAACTTGATGACAATCTTATTGGTCCCCCTTTTGTTAAAACATGGCTTAGAAAAAAAATCACAGTGCTGATAACAAAAAAAGCTGAAGACTATGCTGACAATCATGTGGCAATTTGGAAACTTTTAAAATCAAAGATCAATATCAAATAAAATATTTTAAAGCATTTTTTTAATTATTTTTCCTTTCAAAAAGATAACATGCAATGTAATGCAGAATAATTTTGGTATTTTTGGAATAAGGGCAAGAAAAATTTGCTTTATTCCTAAATTATATCTATACAGTAAAGTATAGACTATGGAAAAATGAGGGAACCTGTTGTTGAGAGAACCAGTTCTTAAAATTTTTGAGTTCGACCACTGGTTCAATCTATGTGATTAATGAAGGAAAATTGGATTATGCTGAAATATATTTATTGTGTAAAATAATTTTTTTTTCATTATTAGGCAGTGGGCATATTCACACAGACACATATAAAGTGTATTTAGGCAGCAAGAATTCATTCAAACAAGTTTTGTTTATTTCAACCAACAAGGTTTGGTCTGTTTAATTTTTTATTTTATTTTTTTCCAAATTTGAATAAAAGGTTGTACATTAGGATTAAATAATGGATAAATTGTTCATGTTTGTTCATGTTTCAAGTACTTTTGACCTTCACATTGACCATCAAGAATTGGATGTTGTCAGTATAGTCAATAAGATCTTGTTTACTACATCCTGGCATTTTCTTTGGAGCACTAGGATTCAAATTAGTCAAAAGTGATATCATATCTAAAACAATTACATGAAACTAGACTGCGCCAGCAAGGCATGTATGAAATATTTATACATATTATTGTAATTTGTACCTATAATGAATATTTTATACAAATTCAAGATACCATCTCCTGTGGTGAATGCGATTCTATTTAACATGAGCTGTTTCTTTTGTATAATGATAGCTTCTAGAATTTTGATATAATCAATATATATATATATATATGTATAACAAAATATATATATGTATGATGACAAAGTGGAAAAAGTTTGTCTTGTGAGATGTTTTGTCCTTTAGGACTTCAGCAGACTAAATTTATGTTGATGCAACTACACATGCACACAAATGAGGGATGCTGGGAATTTTGAATTAAGATTTTTTTTATCTCACCTATTTCATTTAAATTCTTTTTCTTTCCATCGCTTTTGTTAGGTATCCCACACTGATAAAAGTTCTGCCATGAATGGTGAAATTTTGTAAGAACTCTTCATTCAACAGCTGACAAGAAAGATGCAGATTGGAGTTGAAATTTATTTTCATAATAAATTCACATGTTGTGGGATTAAACAGGGATTTGGGTTTCTTCGGAGAGTATAATTTCCACAGGGAGATCGCTAACCAGTGACAACATTCCTCAGAAGAGTCCCACTTCTTTGTTTATTTCTCATATCATTGAAAAAGGAACACAGGCATGTTCAAAGATTCTGACTTTAAAATCTTTCTCTTCATGTTTCAATTCAGTCAAAAGGTTAATATAAAATAAATAGCAATTTTGTTTGGCTTTTTATTCTTGAAATTTTATTAACCAACCTATTAAGTCTACACACAAATATATATATATATATATATATATATATATATATATATATAAAGTGAACATAGAAGTCAACACTTAGAGGCTTACAGTCTGTTTCATGCTATATGCAATCGTCAAGCCACACGCTCTATCTCTGATATTGATTTTTTCACTTTATCCCATAAATATAGCACTCCTTAAGACTATATTTCTTTATATATATATATATATATATATATATGAATGATAAAATATAAATAATAAGAATAAACCTAATGCTTAAAATAAGCTAAAAGCTTAAAATAAACTGAGAGCTCAATGACAAATTCAGCAGAGCCTAAATACAACATATTATAATATCATATTATAATATTATAATACAGTAATATAAAAATCTGATACTCAAATTTTCATGCAATATAAATCCTCGGATGAATGTAATCTCTACCATTATCATATTTGCTTGATGATTTTATCATATTGAACTCTGATTCATAGATTTTGATATTGTATTAATAATATTATTATAATATTATATATATATATATATATATATATATATATAGATAGATAGATATTTATGTAAAAAATGTATATATCTGTTTCTTTATATATAATTATATATATATATATATATATATATATATATAAACATATGCACACACACACACACATACTTACAGAAATGTATCCAAATATGTCACCACATTCAATGTGTTGGTATTATGGATGGGAGGTTATTCAGCATAGAGTCAAGCAGTACATTGGTTTTTTGCTGTTATCTCAAATCTACCCTTGTTAAAATACACCTCTGAGGACAGCAAGTAATATTTTGAAGATATTTAAGTGATTTGTGTTTTTTATTTAAGATATTTCCTGACCCAGGTTACATCAGGTCATTATATGATAATATCGGTTGAATGGAATCTCAAAGCAAAAATCTCTTGGACCCTTTCTTTTTCCTTGTCCATATAAAGCAATAAGAATTATTAATAAGATAATACCATAAAGGAGAGACAGCAAAATGGCCAAAGTTGTTCCATCAATACTGGTTGATGCTGTACCTCGGACATAACGTCCACTTTGTCCTCCAGGGGTGGTCACTGTGACGTTGTCTGGAAGAAAAAAAAGTATGAAAAGCTGTCAGATTTACACATCTACAGATTTATCACATATATTTCATGTACATTTGAACTTTTACAAAGACTTTGGCACTTTGAAGATAGAAATAATATTAATCTCTGTCTATATTTCTTAGATGAAGCATTGTAACTATTTACACTATTTAAAATGTTTATTCTTGTTATCCTCATCTTTGTTGCCATATTCACAACATTTCAAAAATTATGTTAGGAAAAGACTGTTATGGACAGATTGTATCCTTCAGCCTTTTTCAGGATCTGTTTATATTTATTAGATGAGGTATTGTAACTATTTCAAACTATTTACATTGTTCTGACTGTTGTTCTCATCTTTGTTATCATATTCACGTTTCCAGCAGCAAGTGACAGAGAGAGTCTCTGGGAAACACACACACACACTTATATTTTTTAGTCCAATTGGAGTGGATTTGAACAGCAAAATTAGATCAGAGCATTTTTTGTTTACAGATGGTGAAACCTGATCCTGGCATGACAATAAATGATATCCACCCTCTGTTGTACACATTGATTCTGGGTCATCAGAGACAATGTGTCCTGGATAAAATAATTTTTTCATTGATTAAAACTTGGAATGATCAGCTGAGTGAATTGCTGGTGTTTAGGTCCTTTTGAATTCACATGATTTTGGTTGAAATGGGCAGCCAACACCCTGTGATAATATATTACCACAATACATTTTGAAGTAGTAGGACCAAGGGTATTACCAGCAATACGTTTTGACCAATATTACTAGCTATACGTTTTTCTATATAAATGCATGAAATAGTTTTTGACAAAACAAAAATATTATCAAGGAAAAAAGTTGTCATCATTCAATGACCCATGCTGAAACAGAAAAGGCAGACAGAAGAGGCAGACACAAGAGTTGGGCTAGAGACAAATACTGGAACATATAAGATAAATAGAGAATCAGAGTTGGGGACTCAAGAAGGAGATGAAAAGTTTCCACTAATGTCAATAAATGATTTGAACAAATAAATAACGTCCGTAACATGTGCTGTTGATATAAGTACCGCTGCTTCTGCTACCATAAATATTACTACATATGTTACTACTGCTGGGTAGGAAAATATATTATATATAAACTTTATCCTTTATTAAATACACAGAAATTATTCCCCGCCATATATATATATATATATATAAATCGTTCTGAAATGATTTTCTCAAAATAAGTTAAATTGATAAAACATGCTCTTTCTGTCCAAAATCCAAATGTATGCGTTTTTCGTTGAATTGCACTTTTCTGAAACCCATTTCTTTTCTATACTATTCTTTTCTGCTTTATAAAAAGACATTAACAATTCAATTTATTCAATAGTTATTTGTCCAGCTTTCTGCAGATATTAATTTTTTTTTTGCATTCTAAATTTCTTAATGCAAACTCTTCAGATGAAATATTTGACATCTTCATTATTTGAACCAGGATTAAACTTGTGGACCTGTCGAATAATCAACGGATTTTCAGGGGACCTTTATTTTCCTGGACGGTTAGGGACAGATTTTAACCTCAACCCAGAGAGTAAGATTCACCACTGGTTGAGGGCCTGGTATTGAACTGTTAGAATTGTCTAACAACTCCAGTATTCATCAAGCTAGTGGACAAAAGCATTGTGGAGTTCAATACCTGGCCACAGCAGAGGTTAATGAAAACTTTGTTTTGTTAGTTACTAAAGAGAAATAACTGAAACTGAGATATCCAAAGGAGGTATAGCATTTATGGAACTAGAACAATCTACTTTTGTGAACAAAATAAATGGTTCAGTTTGAAATTTCAATCACCTGAAAAAGGTTAGAATGTACAATATGGCCAAAATATTGTGAATATTTTCAACAAAGATGAGGATAACAGTCTTCTTATTGTAAATAGTGTTTATAATGTTCTTACTCTATTATAAATGGATGGATGGTTGTCTGTTTCTCTTATATTTCTTACCACTGCAGGATGTATATATCTGTTTCTTTATATATAATTATATATATATATATATATATATATATAAACATATGCACACACACACACACATACTTACAGAAATGTATCCAAATATGTCACCACATTCAATGTGTTGGTATTATGGATGGGAGGTTATTCAGCATAGAGTCAAGCAGTACATTGGTTTTTTGCTGTTATCTCAAATCTACCCTTGTTAAAATACACCTCTGAGGACAGCAAGTAATATTTTGAAGATATTTAAGTGATTTGTGTTTTATTTAAGATATTTCCTGACCCAGGTTACATCAGGTCGGGTATATGATAATATCGGTTGAATGGAATCTCAAAGCAAAAATCTCTTGGACCCTTTCTCTTTTTCCTTGTCCATATGAAAGCAATAAGAATTATTAATAAGATAATACCATAAAGGAGAGACAGCAAAATGGCCAAAGTTGTTCCATCAATACTGGTTGATGCTGTACCTCGGACATAACGTCCACTTTGTCCTCCAGGGGTGGTCACTGTGACGTTGTCTGGAAGAAAAAAAAGTATGAAAAGCTGTCAGATTTACACATCTACAGATTTATCACATATATTTCATGTACATTTGAACTTTTACAAAGACTTTGGCACTTTGAAGATAGAAATAATATTAATCTCTGTCTATATTTCTTAGATGAAGCATTGTAACTATTTACACTATTTAAAATGTTTGGACTGTTATCCTCATCTTTGTTGCCATATTCACAACATTTCAGCCATTGTATCCTTCAGCCTTTTTCAGGATCTGTTTATATTTATTAGATGAGGTATTGTAACTATTTACACTATTTACATTGTTCTGACTGTTGTTCTCATCTTTGTTATCATATTCACGTTTCGGCGATTGTGTGACAGAGAGAGTCTGGGAAACACACACACACACTTATATTTTTTTTAGTGAAATTGGAGTGGATTTGAACAGCGAAATTAGATCAGAGCATTTTTGTTTACAGATGGTGAAACCTGATCTACGGCAGAAGTTGTACACATTGATTCTGGGTCATCAGAGGACAATGGAAATGGATGAAATAATTTTTATTGATTAAAACTTGGAATAGAGCTGAGTGAGCAAGGAGGTCCTTTTGAATTCACATGATTTTGGTTGAAACAGCCAACACCCTGTGATAATCACGTGTGAAGTAGTAGGACCAAGGGTCGGTTATGACCAGCCAGGTTTTTCTATATAAATGCATAGTTATGCTGAAACAGAAGAGGCAGACAGAAGAGGCAGACACAAGAGTTGGGCTAGAGACAGTGGAGAGTCGAGTTGGGGACTCAAGAAGGAGAGAAAGTGATGTCAGAGATTGGAACAAAGCGTCCGCTAACATGTGCTGTTGATATAAGTACCGCTGCTTCTGCTACCATAAATATTACTACTACTGTTACTACTGCTAAGGTGGAACGCCACTATAAACTTTAAGCCGCACACAGAAATTATTCCCCCATCGCAAGAGTCGTATATCGTTCTGAGATGATTTTACAACAAGTTAATCATAACACACTCTCTCTTTCTGTCCAGAATCCAGTGTATGCGTTTTTACGTCAATTACTTTTCTGTAACCCATTTCTTTTCTATACTATTCTTTTCTGCTATATAAAAGACATTAACAATTCAATCATTCAATAGTTATTTGTCCAGCTTTCTGCAGATATTAATTTTTTTTTTTGTTGCATTCTAAATTTCTTAATGCAAACTCTTCAGCCATGTTTACATCTTCAGTCGACAGGAACCAGGATTAAACTTGTGGACCTGTCGAATAATCAACGGATGCTCAGGGGACCTACGGCCACTCCCTTAAGTTCGGTTAGGACAGAGTAGACACCTCAACCCAGAGAGTAAGATGTCGGTGGTTGAGGGGCCAGGGTGAAAGTGTTAGAATTGTACACTCCAGTATTCATCAAGCTAGTGGACAAAAAGCATTGTGAGTTCAATACCTGGCCACAGCAGAGGTGAATGAAAACTTGTAGAGTTGAGTTACTAAAGAGAAATAACTGAAACTGAGATATCCAAAGGAGGTATGGCACATGGAACTAGAACAATCTACTCTGGTGAACAAAATAAAAGGTTCAGTTTGAAATTCCAATCACCTGAAAAAGGTTAGAATGTACAATGGCCAAAATATTGTGAATATGGCAACAAAGATGAGGATAACAGTCTGAATATTGTAAATAGTGTAAATAATTGCAATTACTCTATAGTATAAATGGATGGATGGTTGTCTGTCACACTTTAAATGCATGTATGTAACATGTGTATATCTGTGTCATGCATGAGTGACTTACATGTGTTTGTGCACAAACACATTTAATGTTATTGTGCTTGTGTGCCATTAAGCCATTGGACTGAGCAATAAAATCATGAAGTTGAAGACAAGAAAGAAAAAAGATAAACTTATCAAGAGCTTAATATCTGTCAAACTCTTTCTTTTTTACATTTGTGTACAACTGGAATAAAATAAAAATAAATAAAAGCAATCAGCTTCCCTTTCTCTTCCTCATAGTAAGAGAGCTTTAATATTTTAATGATAATTATCTCACTATATTTCTATCTATTGATATCAGTCTATCCATGTCTATTGATAACAATTTATTCATATCCGTCAGGTTGTGGTGAAACCAAGGAAAGTCTTCAGACAAACTACATTCCTTAGTTCTACTAGTTTTAACCTTCATGACTAAGACCTGCCAAAACATAGACATTGTAGCAAACCATCCTCATTCCCTTCACATTCCATTGGTGAGATGTAAGTTCCACTTGTGAATTTTCATCCCACAAACTTGCTTTGTGGAACCAACTCCCAAGCAGTGTGAAAATGATAAAGAGACATAGGGTCTTACTTGTAATAATTCTCAACAAGAATTCAAGCTGCCAGAGGATTCTTCTATGTTTCTGAAAGAGTCATATTTTTCTCAACAAGAAAGCAATGAAGCCATGTAGTGTGGCCATATTTACATATTCCAAAGGGAATTTATTTGGGACAGATTAATCTTCTATGTTTTTGGTATGGACATATTATCCAATGGGAAAAAGCACTATGGGCCTGTGTGCTGCACACATGGGAGCTGGACTGGGCTTGGGTATTGCCATGCCTGTGCTAAAAAGCAACTACTTGTCTTGACTCCAGATGTGCTAACAACTCCTTGCTTTTGTCACTCTGTGAACTGACATTACTCAGCACCCGTCCCATGATCCTTGTAAGTTCATCTCAACCAAAGGGAGATAATCACCTTTTGTATTCCTATAGTGTGATTATATTTTTTTGTGGTAAAGCATTAAAGACATGCTGCTGTAAAATTATTTTAGTAACATCACATAAGAATGTGAGACTACATTTTACGTTTGTCTATATTTTTGAGATGAAGTATTGTGACTATATTATTTATCTTGTTAGGACTGTTGTCCTCATCTTTATTGTCATATCCATGAGGTTTCATCTGTTGTATGCTCCAGCCTTCTTCAGGTGATATATGTTGGAATTTTGAACTAAACCCTTTATTTAGTAGATTGTTCTAGTTCCACTGATATTGATACATCAAAGTGCAGCAGAAGAGGATAGCAGGTGAGGTGATGTTATGGAGTGATTTCACAGTGGAGGCTTGTATTTGTACTAAGTCGGTCCTAAAATAGGTTCGACATACAAAACGTTAGGAACTTGATATAATAGGTATAATGCAGAGTAAATCTAGTTGTGGGCGCTGATACTTTAGTATCCAACTAACGGTCGTCCAGCATTGACTGACTGACCGAACCACTGAGCGACTCACTTGTTACTCTTACTACACCTACTTATTATAGGTGGGAGAGTCTATTAACTATAGAATAGGTGTGTTCAACTATAACAGGTGAAATGATTGAAAGACAATCAAAGATTTAGAAACCATTTCAAAAAATTTATATGCCAAAAATAAATGATTTCAAAATTTAAAATATTATGGATTACTTTTATTTGCATGCAGGAGTCACAGTATAAATAATTATTGACTGATTTTATTGTTGTGATATTTTTGCATTATATCAAGTACTAAGAATATAGTAACTAGGGTCTGCAAATTGGAAGAGAGAGTTATCAATGATAATGTTCTGACTTTGAATTTGCAGTTATCTTTCTTTAACCCTCTCTCTGTTTTTTTTTTTTTAAATGTACTTTTTATTACATAGAATTTTGTGAGGGGTGAGCAAATTTTCATTCAAAAAATACAGTCCAGAGAAAAAAGTTTGAGAACCACTGGTGCAAGTGATTCTCTTTCTCCTTTCGTATGTCAGTTGTGTATATCCTATGTTTAGCTGGGTTCACTTACTTGGCTATGTTGATGCACTCGTCAACATTCTTTGAGGTTCGATTCTGCACTTGGTGTCTTAGAGGTTACCTTCTGGGTCAGACTTTGAGGCACTTAGGTATTTTGACATTCTGTGGTGACAGCAAGTAGAAAACTTACTTTGGTATCTGTTAGGGTGAACCCAGTACATAATTAGGGTCACCGCAGATCAAATGTTCTTAGATCAAAGGTTCCTGATGGACATTAAATTTGATTCAGGCTTCTGATATTTTCTGGCATGATTCACATTCTGCATAATGTTCTCTTCAAATAGCACAAGTTAGTTAATATTTCTTATGCACTATGTCCCTTCAGAATGTGGGCAATCATGGCTCTCCTTAACTTCCTATAGTTTCTAGCTCTTAACAATGTTTGTCTTTTTACTATTCCTCCCAGTCTTTGTTCTGTCATCTATTGTTAGGTAGTTTGCCTTGGCCCCTCTTGCCTGCAATATGTCCTGTGAGTGTCAAATTTTCCAAAACTTCTTTCCTCATTATATATCCCAGTTCACAAAAATTAATGAGTTAATTGTAGCTTGTATTCTTATTAAGACTGTTATTCTCTTTGTGTTTATATATATATATATATATATATATGATTAATACAAATATAAAATCTGTCACTTATCTGATTGAAGTTACCTTCAGCATCCTGACTCTAGAGTTTCATAGATGCACCCATCCAGTTCCAGCTATCGCTCTGTGCACTCGTCTGGGGATATCAGCAATTGACTATTTATTTTCTTGTTTTTCTTTTATATTGAAGTTAAAAATAATTTATATATATATATATATATATTTATATAATTCATATTTATTTTTGAGTTTCAAATACTCACCACACAATTTTCCCACTGACCACAATGGACAGTGACAATAAAAATCATCTATCCAGTCAGTACATTTAGCATTTCCATAACAACGATTTGGAGTACATTCCATAATGTCTGTTTGGCAGTTTGTTCCTTCAAATCCTTTTAAATAAAGAAGAAAGAAGAAATTACTCTATAGTCTATGCAATATATGTATGTGTCGATATATGTATTATACTCTGCTTCATTTAGATCTCTTTCTGATTCACTCTTCGTGTCAGCCAGATGTGAATGATAAGAAAGCAAAACCCAAAATAAAAAAAGTTGTCTTCTGCACTGAGGCTTTGAGTATGACATCTGGGCCAACCAACAAATCAAATTCCTGCAAAAATTTAAAAATACAATAGCCAATCACAAACAAAAAAAAAAAGACAAGATGAGTTTGGGAGCCTCTAGATTTGCTTAAAAGAAAACCCCACATAAATGACTGACACAGAACCTAAGGCGAGAGGTCAGCAGTTGACAACAATGTCACCTGACGTCATCATGAATCCACTCCAGGTCTTTCTCATAGTCACCACCATGACCTCAGCCACCAACCTGAACCCTGCTTTGCCAACAACACCCTTATACCTAATTGCTTCCTTTACCAACAGCAACTAAATAACTACATATAAACAAATTTGACACCTTTCCACACAATTATGTATATAGTCTCTAAAATTGAATAGCATAGGTTGTTGAAACTTTAATCCTTGTTTGTTCTTTCCTTTACAATTACGCACTCGTTACAATATATGTTTACAGTAATCACCCTCTAATCAACTGCAAAATATATTCCTTAACTTCTTGGTAGATGCCTGGAAAAGCAGATAGTACCAAACTCTTTATATTAGGTATGGTCTGGTCATGCATTTTTGAAAAGTAATTTTAAAACACTTGCAAAACATAAATATATAATTTTGATACATTTTAATTTTGGTTTTAAAACCCAAGAAACTAGAATAAAATTAATCATTATAAAAAAAGGAAATTATTTTCTGGTCTTTAAATTTGTTTTTAAGCTTTGTTTACTTTTCTGTCACTAAAAGTTTCAATTGTGTGATGGATAGGTTTGTCAATGAAAAAATTAAATTCCAATTTTAAAAATCTTTAGAAATAATTTAAGCCTCTTTGAAATTATTTAATGTCTAATTTATGAGATTTCAATGAAATATGTCTTATTTTTTGCTTTTAATATAATGAAAACAGCATAATGGAGTTGGCTATGCAAGATAGGAATATTTCCTGTTGCATACATGTCAGGTATACCAGTTTATATTTCTTTAATATCACATTGTAGTTACCAGTTTATGAGTGCTGCTATAAGAGAAAGAAATATTTCCTATCTGCATTTCCCTGATTACAAGTATTATTATATCCATAGTATAACAACACCGTAATACACAGAAAAGAATACCCCAAAGAAAAAGAATGACAAACATGTTTTGTTCACAAAGAGATTTTTATACTGCTAAGTTATACACAAAATTATATACAAATATTTACACTTGTCTAAACAGAGAAACGCTAACACATGTATGCAACAACAATCAGTGTGAAAATGTGGAAAAGAAAAAAATGGTCTTATTTGTAATAATTTCCAATGGGAATTTGAGTTGCCGGAGGATTATTTTATGTTTCTAGAGAAGATATATTTATATCCCCCAACAGGAATTTGAGTGAGCAGGATTCATCTTCTATGTCTCTGTGGAGGGTATATTTCCCAACAGAAAAACAGCAAGTCATGGATGTTTCTCAACATGAAAGCTGTGAGCCAGAGATAATTTCTATATGTCTCTGGTGAGGACATATTTTTCCCAACAGGAAAACAGGACTATGGGCTTGTGTGCTTCCCCATGGCAGCTTAATCAGGTGGACAGATTTAACCTTTGCCTGTGTTAAGAAAGCAAATACTTAGTTTGACTCCAGGAGGTTAACTGAATGATTGACTACTTTCATCACTCTTTGAACTGACATCACTAAGAACCCATCACATGAGCCTCATGACTTCATCTCAACCAAAAGGAGATAATTGCCTTTTGTATCCCTACAAGCAATTTTTATACAGGGATGTCTCTTTTCTTATAGAAAAGGCCAAGCAACTGATGTATTAGCTCCCCCTTCTTACTCTTGTCAAAAAAGAAAAGTTGTAGAGACACAAGAAAAACTGAATAAAAACTTATACCAAACATTTTATACCGTTTTGTTCATCAAAGACATTTGCAGTTAATTAAAGGTTAATTTATGATAAAATGGGCACATTTGGCAAAAAAAGGTTGAGAACAGTTGTTCGTGTTAAGTGTTAAATCAATTTTGTCATATCTTTTTGCTTTTGTCCATATTGACACCAGTAAACATTATGCAATATTCAGGGGATGTATAAATGATGGAATTATATAAATGGTTGTCATTAAACCTTGTTACATTCTCTAGCATCATATTTAGAATTATCAATTAGCAAGTTATGCATGTAATAACAGAAATGTAACCAAATTAGAGAATTTCTCATTTATAATAAGCATCAACTAGTCTAAAGTGCAATTCCTTCATACAAAAGATGGACCCAAATTGATTATACAAAAGCAATTGCACAAAAATTGCCATAATTAATACAAGAAAAAACAGCAAGTATGTTGTTAATAACTGGTGTTAATTTTGGCCAGCAATCAAACCAAAATATACTTGCTGGCTGGTGTTGTTGTCTTAGAGAAAACAATATTAATATAATTCCTAAAATTGGGATAAAAATACAAACTTACCTTTTGGGCAGGCACAGAATTGTCTTTGGTTTTCATCAATAAGACAAATTCCATCATTAAAGCAAAAGTTTTCATCACAGTTCAGGAATTTCCTGCCAGGTTTGGTTTCATCTGTTGAAGACATAAAAGAGAAATTAGACATTTAATTAACATTTGCATCAATTCAAATCTTTTATCTACTTAAACCTCCCCTCCTATTTCATCATCAACCATTGTAAAACAATATCTATTAAGATGTCAAGTGAGGTATTTGGTGAAATATCTGTCAAGATACCTGGTGAGATATCTGTCAAGATATCTGGTTAAATATCTGTTGAGAGAACTGGTGAAATATCTGCCAAGATACCTGGTGAGATATCTGTCAAGATATCTGGTTAAATATCTGTTGAGGGATCTGTTGAAATATCTGCCAAGATACCTGGTGAGATATCTGTCGAGATATCTGGTTAAATATCTGTTGAGAGAACTGCCAAGATACCTGTTGAGATACCTGATGAAATATCTGTTGAGATATGTGGTAAAATATATGTTAAGATATCTGGTGAGAGAAAAGGTTGCTGTAAGAATATGATTTATGATTATTTAATGACTTCAGTGCCTTATCTGGAATTTGAACCATGTTTTCTGATTCCATTTCCAAGTTGCTAACCATCATCCTGATCTCGGTAATGATCTATTTGGTAATGAATACATCACAAATAATTAGCAATAATTAAAGTCCCAAATGGAAAAATAAAAGTAAGAAGTTTGGAACAATCCAGTCTGCCCAGTGAGGACAGCTTTCTGAGAAAATATGGCTCAATTTTTATTTATCTAATTGGGGTTTTTTTCCAGAATACTATTAATTCCTTTTTTTTTTTTTTTTTTGCGTTGGATAAAATACAAAGATATAAATAGTTATGGTTCCCTATGCATATTTTTTGGACATTAGTGTAGGGATACAGAAGGCAATTATCTCCCTTTGGTTGAGATATGTCATGTGGGCTATGTGACAGCAGCTTAGTAATGTCACTCCATACAGTGACCATAGTGGCATTCAAATTCAGTTTACAGCAGCCACCATGTGAGGATGCTTTATTTTAGCCTGGGCTAGAGTGTGCAGACTGTTGCTAAATCTACCTCCCCTAGCAACTTACAAGTCCATGGTGCAGTTTCCCTTTGGGAATATATCTTTCCCAGATATAGAAAGTGACTCCAGCTCGTAGTCCTCAATTTGGGAAACCCAAGACATTGTTTCCTATTTGTGCAATATATCCTTACCATAGATGAATCTGGCTCAAATCTGGTGTGCTAAAAATGTCTCCTCCAGAAATAGGAGTATCTCTATATTATATGTAAGATCTTTCCTTTTTGTTTCTCCTTACACTCTGCTGTGTAGATATATGTGATATATTATTCTCTGCATGGAACACATTTGTATATATGTATATATAATTTTGTCTATGTCTTAGTGATATAAAAGTCTCTCTCTGAGAACAAAGCATGTTTGTTATTCCTTTTTCTCTCAGCCATTTCGTCCCATCTGTGAACTACGGTGTTATTATATCACATATAATAATGCCCATAATGGGAGAAATACAAAAGGGAGAATAAATTTTTCCACCATATAGTTCTCTCCCATTACACTAGAGATGTAATCAGCAAAACAAATACAGAAAGACATAGACCTGTATTTCATAGTCTATGCAAAAGCATTTGAGAAGGTATAACACAAAGATTTATTTGCACTGCTAGGTAAGCTCAACTGACATGGGAAAGATATTAGAATAATGCAAAACTTATACTGGGAGCAAACCATCTGCATACACATAGAAAATGGATTGAGTAAGTATGCAAAAATAGAAAAGGGTGTAAGACAAGTATGAATCTTCTTACCAGATTTACATGAAGCAATCCTTAGAGAACTTGAAATTCTATCAAGATTTATTATTGTTATTCAGGCCATGGGCAATCATGGCTCTTCACAACTTCCTATCCTTTGTAACTCTTAGAAATGTTTATTTTTTCCATTTACACAGGCTCGTTAGTTAGATTACATGCTGCTTTGCTCTGTCTCTCTTAGATTCAATGTCTTTTGAGTGTCAAATTCTCCAAGCTCTCTTTCTTCAAAAAGTGTCATAGAAATTTCAACTTTCTCTTTATGATTCTAGGTATAAGCATCTTTTTTTCTTCCATTTTCCTTAAAACCTTTCTTGTTAATCACATATTTACTCCAAGGTATTTTTGGTATCCTTCTGTAGAATCACATCTCTCTTACTTCAAGTCTCTTCTTCATCTGTGAGGAAATTCTCCAGCATTCATCGCCATACAGCAGGACCAATATTAAATAACAATTCAGTTCTCTTTTCTTTGTTTCTAATGAAATTTTCCTGTTTCTTAATACTTTGCTTAGCTTTTAGAAGGCATCTTTTGCTATTCTAATTTAGCTTTAGATTTTGATCACATTTTCTTTGCTTTGTTAAAACACTTCCTAGATATTTAAAATTTTGTACTTGCTTGATTTTGGCATCTCCAATTTATAGTTTACATCTTGGACTGTTCCATTTGCTGACAACCATGCATTCTGTCTTCTTATAGTTGATGTTTAGTCCTTTCTTCTTACTTTCCTAGAAATCAGAGAGCCAAGTTTCAATTTCAACCAGGTTCATTATATTCTCTTATGCACAAATAGGAAAAGTAGGAATCCACCTCTTCTTCTCCCAGCTATGGGTTAATTAGTAGAACTTGTATCAGTAAATCATTATTATCTCAAAAAATTCTTACAATCTAAAAATATTTTCTGGCTCTAAATGACTTGAAAGAGGTTGATAAACTGTAAAAAAGAAATCAGTCAATGTCACTTTTCTTTGCTACCTTCCATATGAGTTTCTGCAGTTTCCATTCTCTGTTCTGTTTTCCATATCATCTGTATATTTTTTATTGTTAAAATTGTGTTTGCCAATAATAAATCCTGGTAGGACTTCTACTTCTCTCAGGATGATTAGCTGTAAAGCTTGAATAAGTCTGGTGAGAAGATGCATCCTTGTCTTATGCTCCTTTTGTATTTTTGTCCATTTTTCCACAAGAAACATTTCCACATTTCTACTAATAATGTTTTGAATCCTACAGTACAATGTCAAACTGAGTAAAAAATACTGAGGTAATTTCCCAACCAAGGCAAGTTTATTTGCTTAAAAAATATCAGCACTTAATATTTTTCCTTTTTACCTGGGTTCAAACACTGACCTCTGACACAGTTGAGAAATATGAAACAATCTCCATCATAAAGCACTAGGTGTTGTGTTATAGCCACATCAAGAAAATTAAGTAAGAAACAAAAATTTAAAGTACTTACTGCAGATTTTTCCAGTTAAATAATCTGGGCAGTGGCAATAAAAATCATCAATCCAATCTGTACAGCGAGCGCCAGCATAACATCTGTTTGGATTGCAATTGTCAAAGTTGATTTCACAGAAACGACCTCCAGTACCTTCAAGTCAAACAAAAGGCAAAAACATCAAAGATGAGCAGCACCAACCATCAAGAAAATCTGTTCCATGCTGATTCGATAAATTATCAAAGTCAAAAGTTACCATAAGAGACTTGAACCAATTTTCTTCAAATATTAACAGAAACCTTTCCCTTGATAGATATTACCATATTTATTTATGGAAATTTTAAATGAAAATTAAAAGCAAAACTGGAGGAGGTATATTATACACAAGTACACATTTTTAGAAATTTTTTACTCAGCTTAAAGCACCTCGTATTCAAAACGATTTCAAATATGCCCTGGTTTGCTCACAAGATAAAGTTTGTTTACATTTTGATTTTCTTGTTTTTTTTATAAAGTTTTCTTTCTTTGTTCTAAATGGAAGACAATATATTTTTTCATAGTTTATTAATATATTGAAATCTAATAAAGTCATACTATGATAGATTAATTAATACCCTCAAATGTATTACTGGGTAAGCGTTTTTCACTGAAAATTTGAAAATATATTTTTGAAACAGAAATTAAGAGAAGAAACACATAATGGATAAACATCCGGTTCATTTCTATTCTTTAATATCATTAAAAATTAAATATCTTAGTATATATATATCTTATATATGCAACATTGAGATTTTAATGGATAATATAGTACAACATTCAAAAAAAAATTTACATAGTAATGGCAGTACTACGGGGTTGTCAAGGATGTAATTTATTCTGTTTTTAACTTTAAAAACATGAAGTTGTATTATAGTCAATTCATATTATATATAAAAAAAAAAAAATACAGTAATTCAACAGTATTTAAAAAAACAAAAAAACAAGCAATATTATCTGTCTCTGAATGAAAATAATGTCATGAACTATTCAAACTAGTATATGATTTTTTTATAAGCAGCTAAGGATTTTGACCCTCAGGTCATCTCCAGAGTGTTTTGTGTGGTGGAGCCAGCCTTTAAGTCAGCATGATCCCACAAATAAGAATTTGCTTTTGCACACTAAAATTAGTTCATATCATTTTCTGTTATCCTGTACTTGTGTTACTTTAATTTTGTGTCCTGGGTAAGATGATAAACTATATCCAACAGCAAGGCCTTTGATCAGGTTTTGAGGAGTGTGGAACTACCTTTTAATTACTGGTGTTCCCAGGTCGACCCTGACCCGGGGTAGTAGCACCTGTTAGGGTCCCAAAGCACAATGAAAGCATAAAAATAGGTTTTAATACTTTTTTGGAGAAATTATTACCAACAATACATTTTTGAAGAAAAATTATTACCAGAAATACATTTTTGGAAAAATATTACCAACAATACATTTTTGAAAAAAAAATATTACCAGCAATAAAAATCTTGTTGGCATTAAATGACCCATTGAGGTTGATATGCCATAAAACAAACCAAACTTAATTTTTGTCCAAGAATTAGAACATAAGTTACGAAAATTGTTTCTGCTGGGTCTAATAAATAGAAAAGAAAGACATTTCGATTGCACTAAGCTAGTAGAATTGGTAGAATTCTTGTGTACAGTATAAAATAGTGTTGTAATTATTTTAGTTTAATTTTACATTTTTTTTCTCTTTTTTTTTTTGACTATCTAAAGGCACAGTTTGTATTGAGTGAAACTGCAAATAGAAACTGTTCGAAACAAGATAAATTCTACTGAAAAGGATGTGAACATTCGTATAGCTAAAGCTTGGGCGGCCTTGAATAAAATAGATGTAATCTGGAAATCTGATCTACCAGACAACCTCAGGTGGAGATTCTTTCGAGCCACTGTAGAGGCAGTGTTAATGTATGGTGCCACTGCTTGGACATTGACTAAAACTCTACAGTCTAAGCTTGATGGACCCTACATTTGGATGCTGAGAGCTATACTTAACATTTGGAGACAACATCCAACTAAATCACATCTCTATGGACACATCCATGATATTTCTACAGTCTTATGCGAACACAGAATACTCTTTGCAGGACACAGCTGGCAAGCAAAACAAGAACTTGTGAACGATCTACTGATCTGGACACCTAGCCATGGAGCAAGATGAGTTGGTCGCCCAGCAACCAACTACATTGAGCAGCTGTGTTATGACACAGCATACCACCCTAATGACCTTCCAACCTTGATGCAGGACAGTCATGGTTGGTGTGAATGTCTGAGATAGGTCGACCGAATAAAATAAATATAAAGTCACACAGATCATGAAGTTGTTTAAGAACTGGTCAAATTTGAGTAAAGTTGCTTATAAAAAAGTTGTAAAGTAAAAAAAAATCATGTATCCTCATCTTTGTTATTTTGATCATTCAATTTTGGCCAGTGCTCTGTTGGTCATTTTAGCACTCTTTGAAGTTCCATAAATAATTTACCTAAAAAAAGTTTCCATTGATGTTGTTAGAATCAAATAAAAATATTGAGCAAAAGCTGTTCTGAGATTAAAACAATTACCTTTCATGCATTTACAAATGTAGCCATTAATCTGATCAATGCAAATGCCTCGATGTTTACATGGGTTACTTAAACATTCGTTTATGTTTTGTTCACAGTTATGACCTGTGAAACCTGATTGACAATGGCATCTGTACCGAAAAGCATCCAGTTCCTACAAAAAGAACCAAAATCTTAAAAAATTGCTGGATACATACAAAACATATTATATTAGGTTGGTGCAAAAATAATGACGTAATAATGTCGTTTTTTGACGTATTTTTAATGTCAAAAACGACATTATTACGTCATTATTTTTGCACCAACCTATATATATATATATATATATATATATATATATATATATATATATATCTTCTTCTTTCAAACATGTTTCATTGAGTAATATAGACATATTATTGCACAACATTTAAAAACATTCCTGCCCACCTTCAGAATACAGAAAAATACTTGTTGGCAATACCAATATACTTCTAGAGGCTTTCTATATCAAAAGCAAGCAAACAACACTCAACAAAATTTATTATGAGTGTAGCAGTAACATGTTGAAGTGCATATGACAAACATTTAATGCCATTTTTCATTTCTACCATACCATTAGCTCCCTTATATTAAAACACTTGTTTTGCAATAAATTCCATAACTACAATGGATAAATTAAAATTTTAAAATAATTATAACAGAGTGCACTCACGCGTGTTTTTTTAAAATCACCATTACAATGAAATGCAGATTTGATCAGAGTTCCAATAAATTTGTTTTCCTAATTCACCCCTGAGGATGATCTTGAAGGAGATTGAAAGTACTTGAGTAGGAACAAAACTATAGCACCTTCCTTGATGAATTTCATCTTAACATCAAGAAACTGATTAGAGAACTGGAAAGAATCAGTATAAAAATAAAGTGAACAAATAGGAAAAATTTATCAATCTAAAATTTGCTTCACTTTATTTTATGTATATATATATATATATATATATATATATATATATATATATATATATATATATATGTGTGTGTGTGTGTGCGTGTGTCATTAAATAATATAGACATGTCTATTTTTATAATAATCCTTTCCAAACATTTAATGCCATTTTGCATTTCTAACAATTTCTGGTCTTCCATTTATATTGGACACTTGTTGAAAAAATTCCATCCTACAATGGATAAATTTAACTTTTTAAAATAATTATAACAAACATTTTTTTTCTGAAATTTAATCAAGTTCAATAAGTTTGGATTTGAGATTCACCTCTGAGGGTGATCTCCGAAACTTTCCTTGGTGAATTTCATCTGCACATCAAGAAATGGATTAGAGAGCTAGTAAGGATTATTATAAAAATAAATAGACATAACATATCTACATTATTCCATGAAACACACACACACATATATATATATATGTATATTTCACAATAAATTCCCAGTGAACGCAACTAAAAGTTTCATGTATTCTAACACAATCATCAGGCAATCAGTAACTGTTATTTAAGAAAATGGGAAGTCCAAGATGTTACAAGATTAGTTGATTTGTACATACCATCCACATACCAACCAAAGTTCACTTTTGAATGCCCACCCAGCCAAAATGGAATTTGATGTAAAATCACAAATAACACCAAAAAAGTTGACAGGTGTACTGAAAAAGTGATTGTTATCATGCAGTGACAGGATGTTTCATGCTTGAACAAAATCTTTGGACCTGAAGATTGTGTTCAAGTATAAAACTGATTCTTGTCATTTGGTGTTGACCTCAGTGTCCAATATATAAAAGTGGACATTAAAGTCAAGACCCAAAGGCAACAGTCTGTTTCATGCTAAATGCAATCATTAAGCCATGTGCATTGTAGCTTTCCTTGACTATATATGCAGTTCAGTGAAGAATTGCAGGCAGTCTATTGTATTATTTCAAAGGTTATTTTGGTGGAAGATAAAGAGTGTGCTTAGAATTATTTTAGGGGCTATTGAGTGGGTACAATTGTGGATCCAAATGCAGTTTTTTTCTATATATAGTGCTGTTAACTTTTTTATTTATTATTGATTATTTTATTGTTGGTTGTTATTACTATGTTTTCTTGTGTGTATCTATGCATTTGTTGTTAATTTGTTTATTTTTATTTAGTTTATTTATTTGGATTAATTTATTTTGTATTTTTCTTCTTTATTTTATTTTATTTATTTTTGTTCATTCTTATTCATTTTCAGTTTTTGATATATATATATATATATATATATATATATATATATATATATAACACATATAACAAAGACTGTATTTTGACAGTTTTGGCCCAAAATAGTTATCGATATCAAGGGATGGTGTATTAATAGTAAAAAATAAAACAAAATATTTTCAGTACTTTGAGTTTTGCAGAATTACATCCATTCATCAGGATTGACTTGATTTATTTTCAGATTTATTCTAAGAAGTTATATTTTCCATAAAATACACTTAAATATGATTGCGGAAAATAACTCAAGATCAGAAAATGAAACACATTAACAGTCAGTCAGTTAAGTGCCATACATGCTTAGGGAATCATTTCTCTGTTGATTCATGACTGACTAGGGAGAAGATTTTCCAACAGTAGGTTGATGTTTCTTTCTGTGACATACTAGTTGCCAACCAAGACTACAGGACCCAGTCTATCCTGCTATTCAACCCATAGCCAGGCGGAGAAGAGATGGATTCATACCTTTCCCAAGGTTATTTGTGCGTAAGGGAATGTAATAAACCCAACTGGAATTTGAAGTATAATTTATGATTATATATTATTTATATGTTAAGGTAAGTATAAACTTTTGATTGTTCAAAATGAATTTTGACCTAATAGCTGATTCAATAAATTCTTTTAGATGATTTATGATGAATAAATTTAACTATTTGGGCATTTTTTAAATTAAAATACTAGTTTGAATCATAAATTTTAAATAATCATAACTCGACTCAAACCCAACTTTATTAGTCAAAGTAAGAACCGTTAAATTGACAAAATGTTACCAACAGTCTGGCAGGGAATTTATTCTATCACAATAAAAATGGGAGATCTCATGTCAAAAAACTGTCAGATGGCATCTTCTATCTGATCTACATTGGTATACACTGTTTAAAACTTGGGAAAAGTGATAATCACTTCAATGAATATAGAGGGTAGGACAAGTTGTAGACATTTAATGCCATTTGTTTATATTAATTTGTATAGGATAGTCTACTTTCTTTACATCAGTGCTAGCAGAAATGTTTGCAACCTTTGTTGCATCATTTTCACATCACGACAAAAGGACTCTGAAATAGACGAATCAGCTTTTAGGAAGCATTATTATTACAATATCATCAGAGGACCTGATGGATCTTTTTAAGGTAAAGATTTTAATTTGGGAAGATTAAATGGGGATGCAAGGTTATCCTCAGCCCTAAAATGTCATGTTTTTGATTGTCATGCTGAAACAATCATTCATCAACAATAAGCCCACAATCATAAAAGGAGACATTTTTAAAGCAAGCAAGGAAATAACTGTGTGGCCTGAATATTTCTTTATTTTTTTGCTATTAATCATATTACCGTGAAAGGGAATAGTTCTGAAATAAAATTAAGAAATAATATATTAATGTTTCTAGAAAAATTTGATTTTCCTGAAAATAACCTTATGAGTCATGAGTTAAAAAGAAACTAAAATTAATTTAGTTCACATTTCTAAATTTTTTTTTATTGCAAATCTCTCTTGATTAACTTGGTCAATATTTGGGCTGTGTAAATGCAAATAAATTACTGTATTTTGTAGTACATCTGATATGGAGTCCCCCTGCCTACTCCATTCAAATTGGAAGCAATTAGTGAAGCTAATATTTACTTTTTACTACTGTAAACATCCTGAATCTTCCACACTAAAATGGGAGAGTACTCTTATGTCTATGCATATTATAAAACATTAAATATGGGGTTAGTGGAATGGCTGGTAGACATAAATTTACTTTACTGTCCTAACATAATCATTACCATACCATTGACATAATAACACTTTGTTCATTCATGGAAACAGACAAAGACATGTTTAAAAGGAAACAGTTCACAGAAACTAGAATTAAAACATAGATACACATTAACAGATATGGAAAAGAGAAGTGAATTAAGGTCTTAATTGAGAGCTGACTTGGTAGTGCATTGCATTAGTTATGTGGCTAGGTCATGAACAGTGAGAGAAATTGGAGGTCTAGAGTAGATGTACAATTGTTTCAGAAAATTGGAACCAACAGGTGAGATGACTTACATTTTTCACTTCTCACTAGACTGTCACTTCATCCATTTCTTAGTTTTTGACAGGTGCATAAGCTATAGCTAAGTCAAGGGAAGATAATAAAGTTTTGGAATGCTGCAGCACCTATCTAACTTTCATTGCACATCAACATATTTAAAAATTGTGGATGTTTGTACCATAGATTTCAAAGAAATCTCTAACCCCTTTCCCACAGATGAAATGTTGTAAGCCTCTTGCTACTATATTTGCTATTTCTGTGAGAAATGTTCAGATGATGGGTTCACTAACTCTAATCCTCCCAGTTAAGACCTGCCATGCCACATACACTGTAGCACACAATCTTCATTCTGTTTATATTTCATTGGTGAAAAGTAAGTTCCACTTGAACAGCTTCTTCCCACAAACCATTACTTTGTGGGATCGACTCCCAAGAAGGTGCTTTCCTGAGCATCATAATCTTAACCTGTTCAAGTCTAGAGTGAATCGTTATCTTTCTCTCATAAACTGCACCATTTACCTCTTACTCCTTCACTAACCCTCTACTTAGAGTGGCTCTTAAGCCTTGTATAGAGTAAACAATAGTAAATAAACTGTCTTTCTTACATGCAAAATAAACCAAGTGTCTCTCAATATTATATAGCTTACTTGAAATATGAATTGTCACTGACCTCACATCGACCCCCGTTCCAGCACTTGTTGTGGCAAACTTCCTCTGAAAAAGAAAAGATTTATTTATTTATTGGTATTCACAAGTAATATCTTCCTCATTGTAGTCACCAGGCTGTTCTTATAAAGGTTTGGTTATCAGTTGAAAAATTGTTATGTAGTATTTATGTAATATGTAACATTTTTAAACTTACATGTGTATAAACCTATAAACATGTAAAATCATGTACAAACCTAAAACATATGGATATGTCTAAAAAATCATGTATAAAAACATGTGTAATCCTAAAAGAACATGTAAAAAACAAGTATAATTCTAAAAACATCATATAAAAACAAGATTAAACATAAACATATATACACCTAAAAAGCATTTATAGAAACAGGTGTAATTCTAAAGAAACATAAAAACATGTATAAATCTGAAAACATGTATAAAAACATGCTTAAGCTTAAAACATATGTATAAATTAAAAAACATATATAAAACATGTATAAACCTAAAATAAACAGAAAAACATGTAGAAATCTAGAAACATGTATAAACCTAAAAATGTTGCATAAACCTTAAAATCCATGTATAAATCTAAAAAAAAATATAAAACATGTATAAACCTAAAAAACATGTATAAACCTAAAAAACATGTATAAATGTAAAAAGTTCTCTACATCATTGAAAAACATTTTTCCTAAAAATATTTGGATTTGCTTATTAAATTTAACCCATTAATTGCAGATGAGGAAACTTCCTATCATAGTTGTTCTTTGGCTCAACTGCAAATGGCAGATATTTCTACCATAGTCAAGGATTTAATTGCTGGAACTTATACTTCTTGAAAGTAATTTTATTCCTGCTATTTAACTAATCACAGGCATAGTTTCTAGGATAAGTTTAAAAGAATTTAAAATAATTTAATTAATTGTAAATTTATTCTTTAAAAATCTTAGATAGTTTTTCCTTCACTTTCAAAATTCATTCATGCAATTTCCAGAAAATATTACGATATTTGACACTTTCTTTTCTGAATTTCTGGAATGAGTCATTCAAAAACTGTTTCAGATTAGCATCCTGATTTTTGTTGTTTTTATTTCAGAAGTTTGGCTTCCCCATGCTGTCTTTTTCCTTATGAGATTTTAAAAGGTGCTTTTTACTTTGTCCAGGAATATTACCAAATGTAATAGGCATCTGATGGAAGATGAAAGGCATATCAGCCAACATCTAATAAAAACAACAAAGATGAGGATACTAGTCCAAAGGTATCATTAATCATTTGAAACTATTGTATCAGAATTTCAATGTACTTCATTCATGAATTGCATAATTTTCAGAATAGATCACTTTTGAAAGGTTGTTGTCTATTAAAACTGACGCTATAACTAGTACTTCTATGTTCTCTGTCTATTTAGAACATGCGATTATGGCTCTCCACAATGTCCTATCCTTTGTAGCTCTTAGCAATTTTTGTCCTTTTGCTATCCCCCCACTCCCCATCTGTCATCCATTCACATGAACTCATCAGCGTAAACCTACTACACTCCCTGCCCCTCTTGCCTTTGATATGTCATGTAAGTATAAAATTTTCCAAGCCCTCTTTCCTCATGTGTTTCAGAAATTCAACTGTCTCTTTCTGATTCTATACGTCTTTTTTGTTTCCATTTTCCTTAAAACTTTCTTGCTGCTCACATACTCCATCCATAGTATCCTCAGCATCCTTCTGTAGAACCATATTTCTGTTACCTCAAGTCTTCTCTTCATCTTTAAGGAAATAACTTGCACACAAATTTCAAGTCTTGATATTTTTTGTCTCTTTGAAGCATTTTTGCTATGTATAGTTTTACCCCAATATTTTGATCATTGTGCTTTCTGCTCATCATCATCAGATATGAAACTTAATAGATAGTTTACGACTCATTTGGTTCTCTCGTTTTGAAAGTTTACTTTTATCAGAGTAAAGGAACATTTTGGGTTCTGTCTTAGACTAGAGCAACAATAACTAATCAAGTGGTTTTCAAATTCTTTGAAACTATTTAATCAAAAGATAAAATTCTTCTTAAACTAGAGGCATTGCTTTATGAGGTTTCTGTTTGCGGAGAAGTGCCAGAGAGTGTTAGCAATATTTAATGGGAGATTTGGAAATGAAATGGACTGGATCAAAGGTATAAAATAAATAATATACATTTATTTATTTGATTTAAATTGGAGTAAGTCCTTTGTAATTCAGGGGTAGCAAAAGTTCATTTATAAGTCAGATCTTGGCAGCAGTTGGAAAAGTATGTTTCGGATTAGGATTTGGTAGTTTAGAAGTCAGACCTTGGTAGTAGTTGTCATCTTAGAAATAGGTGGTAGTGTCAATCTGCTGTGCTTTTCTTGGTTCTAAGAAGGACGGAAAATGTCTTAAGCAGATGACCACTTAACTTTTTCATGCGATACACATGGCTGCTTTCTCTGGCAATCTCTTCTCTCCTTCTGCCTCAGGGTTGTTAGTTTATATCCCTTTTGATGGGGATCCAGAAGACTTACTGGCACAAATCTCAGTTTTGGCTAATGTCACAAGTCTCTTTGCATTAATCTTTTCGTTTGACCAAAATTATTTTATTTTCTGATATTCCTATTCTTTTTAATTTTTTTTTTTATATGGCAGAAGTTATGTGTGGAGCTTCTCTGATTTTTGGTAGATTTCTAGTTACAAATGGCCGGACTCTGGTCCAGCAAAATTCCATTGTTTTGTAGCCAGATTCAGGATTTTCTTTTTTTTCTTTTTTTGCCTTCTCATTAGTTGGAAAAGAAGAGAGAAAGGTATATATATATATATATATATATATATATATATATATATATATATATATAAAAAGAGAGAGAGAGAGAAACGTTTAGAGAGAGAGTGAAGTATAGAGACAGAAGTTTAGGGAGAGAGAGAAGAATACAGAGAGAATTTTAGAGAGAGAAAATTTTAGAGAGAGAGAGAGAAGTATAGAGAAGGAGAAATATAGAGAAAATTTTAGAGAAAGAGAAGTATATAGAGAAGTTTAAGAGAGAGATGTATATAGAGAGAATATTATACAGAGAGAGAAGTATATAGAACAAAGTTTAGAGAGAGAAGTATAGAGAGAAGTTTAGAGAGAGAAAGACAAATATATACAGAGAAGTATATATATATATATATATATATATATATATATATAAAGAGAGAGAGAGACAGAGAGAGAGACAGAGAAGTATAGCTAGAGAAGCTTAGAGAGAGAAGTAAATATCGAGAAGTTTAAAGAGAGAAGGAGAGAAATTGAGAGAGAGAAGTATAGAGAGAAGTATAGAGAGAGAAAAAGGGATATGGGTTTTAAAAGAAAGCAAATGCCTTATTTTAATTTTAATTCTTTTTATGTTTGTTTATATATTTTATTTTATGAGGGTTCATTTCAAGTTTAGTGATAACAGAAAAAGGAAATTCACTCACCTTGCTGACATCTGTCCCCATAAAATCCATTCTGGCATTTACAGGTAAAGGTGCCTGGTTTCCCCTCCAAACAGTAGCCTCCATTTTGACATGGCTGAGATTGGCATTCATTAATTTCTGAAATTATATTTCTACTTTAAACAAAAAATAGATTGGAAAGACTATATTATTGAAAGAGAAGACTAGATTATGAAAAGATAAGACTAGATTATTGAATGAGAAGACTAGATTATTGAATGTAAAGACTACATTATTGAATGAGAAGACTAGATTATTGAAGAAGTTTAGATTATTGAATGAGAAGACTAGATTATTGAATGTAAAGACTACATTATTGAATGAGAAGGCTAAATTATTGAAGAAGTTTAGATTATTGAATGAGAAGACTAGATTATTGAAAGAGAAGACTAGATTATTGAAAGAGAAGACTAGATTATGAAAAGATAAGACTAGATTATTGAATGAGAAGACTAGATTATTGAATGAGAAGACTAGATTATTGAATGAGAAGACTAAATTATTGAAGAAGTTTAGATTATTGAATGAGAAGACTAGATTATTGAATGTAAAGATTACATTATAGAATGAGAAGACTAGATTTTCGATTGAGAAGACAAGATTATTTAGTGAAAAGGCTAGATTATTGAATAAGAAGACTAGACTATTGAATGAGAAGACTAGATTATTGAAAGAGAAGTCTAGATTTTCGATTGAGAAGACAAGATTATTTAGAGAAAAGGCTAGATTATTGTATGAGAAGACTAGATTATTGAAAGAGAAAACTAGATTATTGAATGAGAAAACTAGATTATTGAATGAGAAAACTAGATTATTGAATGGGAAGGCTAAATTATTGAATAAGAAGATTAGATTATTGAAAGAGAAGACTAGATTGTTGAATGAGAAGACAAGATTATTGAATGAGAAGACAAGATTATTGAATGAGAAGACTAGATTATTGAAAGAGAAGACTAGATTATTACTAGTAATTGATATGAAACTGATCCAGGGTATAAAAAATCCTCAAAGCATAAAAAAACAATGGTTGGGTAGGATTATCATCTCTCAGTTGTGTCTCTGTATTTGGGCAGAATACTCACAGTTGTGGTTCTGTCTGCAGGCAGAGATGCAGCTGGGTAAAAAAATACTAAGAGATGCCCAGTCTTGGGGAAGAGCTTCCCAAGGATGCACCCCACCATTGCACTAGAGAGTGGGGATCTGTAGTCATACTGATGCCAGTACAAGCAATTGTTGCAGGAGCTGGGCAATTTTTGTCCCTGACCCGACCTTGTGTCACATCCTATCTCGATGGGGAGACTAGGGTAAATACAACGTTCCATGGCCCAGATAACTATGAGCAAAGTGTAGTATCTGTTCTAGTAGCCAATAACCAGCCCACGGCTCAAGCCATCAGCAGCAGTTCCAGTCAGCCATCTTCAGCTCCAGCAACAATATGCAATAAACTGTCCTTTTCAGGACAATGCACTTCAACTATAACAAAACTGTCCATTTCCAGACAATGCTCTTCAATGACTACAAAACTGTCCTTTTCAGGAGAACACTCTTCTCACTCTCTACATGAACATGCGGAGATATTTTTTTTGCCAAGTGCACTGTAACCTTATTTTTGTTGATGTAGTTTCTCTAATAAAAATAAACTTGGCAATAAATATTTTACTGAAGTTTCCATTTTGTTTGTTGTTGTCTTCCATCATTCAATATCTGTTTGCAGGCCAATATATTACATGCAACAGGGTCGCTGATTTTTCTCGCCAGAATCCATCTAGCACATTTACAAATGTACCATTCATCTGTGCATTGCATACTGTAGCCATATCTGGTCTGGTGCTCCTGCTGTACATCTCGAGATTCTTGACAAAATCCAAAGAAGGATCTGAAATGTAATCAATCCTGACCATGCATCTTGACTTCAGTCACTTTCTCATCGATGTAAGGTAACTTCTCTACAAATATTTTCATGGCGACTGCTCTGATGAGTTTTTTTTCCTGGTGCCCTAAATAAATGAATTTAAGTGTGTTACTGTTGAAATAGTTAAATGCAACTACCACTTCTACTCCAACAGTTTCTTTTCTCACATTTCCCAGCTGTGGAAATTTCACTGCTTCTCTGATAACCACAATCTTCAAAAAATTAAATGCACCATCAATCACCATCTTCTGTTTTTTTGAACCCTGTTCATCTTTTGTCTTTTCCTCAATCCACCCTATTCCCAGTTTTCTCTATCACTTTAATTCCCCATAACCCTCTGCAGACTAGTGGTATTCCTGCCTTGCTTGGGGTGAAATGATTAAAAAAAATTCTTTTTTCAAATAACCCACAATGGCTGTCTATATTTCTGAGATGAGGTATTGTAACTATTTACACTGTTTAGACTGTTGTCCTCATTTTTATTGTCATATTCACAATATTTTGACCATTGTACACTCTGACCTTCTTCAGGTGAAGAATTGGAGTTGGAATTTCAAATTGAACTCTTTATTTAGTCCACTGGAGTAGATTGTTCTAGTTCCACATGCCATACCTTTTCTGGATATTTCAGTTTCAGTTATTTTCCCTTTAATAACTCAACTCTCCCAGTTTTTGTTCACCTCTGCTGTGGCCAGGGATTGAACTCACAACTCTTTGGATCAAGTCACTAGATTACTTCAAGAAATGCTTTTATCCACTAGGCAACATGTCATCTTGAATATGAAAACAAAGACGAGGACAACAGCCTGAACAAGGTAAATAGTCTAAATAACCCACAATGGGTTGATAAGATGTAAAAACAAAATCAATCAGTTAACATTCTGTTTGTCTGAAATGGAAGCTTTATTTTCTTTTCTGAGTAAATTAAAGAATTTTAGACAAAAAAGTTGATAAAATTCCTTGTGATTTTGTAGTGCCTGTTTATAGATTCTAATGAAGTATTGTGTTCTTTACGAATGATACGATTTATTCATGTCAAGCTATTTTTATTCATTGACCTGAGAAAACAGTTGTATATAGATGGTAGTATAAATATTTATGAATGAGTTGGATGCTATGTATGACATCCACATGAGAGTTTAGATATGACAAGGTTATTTAAGAATATGACTAGAGTTTTCAAGTTGATATTTTGGTTTTGTTGCTTCTTATTGCATTGGACAAAAGTACCCTCAGGTACCCCAATCTATCCTGCATTCAATTTCTTTATTTCATATACTAACTCCAAATGTATGGTCATCAGAAAGAAGAGGAAATAACTTTACTTTACCCTCAAAACAGAAATTCCCAGTGAATCCTTCTGCACAATGGCATTGAAATGAACCGGGTTCAATTTCAAAGCATGTCCCATTATTTAGGCAAGGAGATGAGTCACACTCTGAGATGTCTGAAATTTAACAAAAAAACAAATAAGTCTTGTGAAAAATTTGTCCTTCAGAGAAATTGTTAAATAATTAAGATATCATAAAAAAGGATTTGAGTAGAATAAGCCAAATGATGATGTATTTTCTATCCTTTAGATAATTTACTCCATTTTTGTCTCTGATTTTGAAGTTTTCCTGCTTATTTCTGGTAAAAAAAAAAAAAAAAAAGAATTAGGTATAGCAATAAGAAGCAAAATGCCTGATCGTCCAGTAAACAATGAATCTAAAGTGACTTGAGAAACTTTATTATTTTATGTAATTTCTTCTGTGCTTTGAATAGCTAAACATACATAACTTAATTAAAAAGTAAAAATCATTTTAAAAAATTACAAACATTTAAATCTTGTAGCAAGCTCATAAATATTAAAATTCAAAAGAAATATATTTTCAAACAAATTTAGTTAATTACATCTGTATCCAGGCAATAATTTTTAACTTATCATTTAAGGGCAGCCTGGGCTCTGTAGCCATGGTTGGCAACCAGAATAGGAGAAGGACAACTCTGTTAACTGTTATTTGTTATGTAAAATTTAACTCAATTGTTTCATGTAAATAAAAAAAATAAGTCTATTCTTTTATTTAAAGGATAAAAAAGTTACTTAGTAAGCAGGCAATAAATCACTACTTCTTTTTCTGAACATCCAGTAAAACAGTAGTGAAGCCTTTTAATCTATTAATGAGTTAAAAAAAAAAGAAAAAAAACTTACCTATTTCACATGTTTTGCCTGTAAATCCCGTTTTGTCACAGTCACAACTATATTTTCCAATTTGGGGCTGGAGACATCGTCCACCATTGAGGCAAGGCTGACTAATACATTCATTGATGTCTGTTTCACACTGCTGACCAGCCGTTCCATTTGGACAGATACATGCATAATGACCGTGGGGTCGCTGGAGACAGGTGCCGCCATGTCGACAGGGCCACGACCTGCAAGGATCATCCTTTATTTGACACAATGTTCCTGCAAACCCAATTGGGCAAATGCAACGAAAATAGCCAGGAATTGTGTTCTGGCAAGTGCCACCATTGAGACAAGGAGAAGGGGCACATTGGTCAATTCTTGATTCACAGAATGTTCCTGTGAAACCCCAGAGGCAAATGCATTGGAAGCTACCAGGAATTCCTTGGACGCAACCTAGTAAAATAAAAATGAACAAATAGAATTTTTAATCTCTGTTACTCCTTGCTTTTAATTTATTTTTTAGTTACATTATTTACAATCAGCATAATGGTCTCATTTTCATTGTTATTATTCCATGGCTGCTGCATGCACTGACCTTTTTCTGTTGGTCCAAATAATCTGCAGGTAATTCTGAACTGGACACTTTATTTAATGTACAGGCATAGATTGTTCTTATTCCACTGTTCATATCTTGTTCTCTTTTTAGTAATGCTCAGTTATTGCTTAAGTGAATATGAGTCTGAACTACCTAGCCCAAGGATTGAACTCACAATTACCATCCCATCAAATTCATGAACCAACACTTTAATCTTTTGGGCTATTGTCTCATGGTATAATCCTGAAGCTGGAAGAAGGCCAGAGAGCACAACAGCCAAAATGTTATAACATCTTATAAAAGATGAGGATATCAGCTTGACTGTAAATATTTTAAATAAAGATAACTCCTCATCTAACAGAAATTCAGGCAGATCTTTTAAATATATTTTCATATTGATATATGGAAATTTAAGGGCTCCCTAGAAATATTTTCTGTGCTAATTTAAGGCATTGGCTTTTGAGACTGTGATCCAACTGGGGTGGGGGCATTCACAGATTAAGTGAAAAAGTGTTTTGTTTGTGAATATTTAATAAAAATATAAGTATGGTTCTCCATTGAAAAAAAAGGGGGATCCATTCATATACACTATGACATGTATACTTGTATGGGTGCACATTGGTGTAATGGATTGCAAATGGAGAGTCAAGTTTGAATTCCATTTGAGCTCATTTAACTGGAACATTCTAGCATAAGTGTATTCAAAAGACTTATAACCAAATGCATCATTGCAAAAGTTTCTGAGAAACATTCTTCCAAGTCTAAAACACGAAATATTTTTGCTTTAACAGCTAATCTGGATTAATGTGCATGTCTTGTCAAAAAATAAAATTAAAAACAATTATTTCTCAGACATCAAAGTAATTTTTTAGCAAAACAGAAATAGAGTAATCAAAAAAATGTTACAAAAATGTTCTTACAAAAAGAAAAAATAGAAATATTCAAGCATTGATCAATCATTTGAGAAAGATTTCTAATTTACAAAGAACAAAATTGCACAGATTTTAGGCTAATTTAACAATTACAACAAAAAAAAAAAACAAAAAAAACTTCACACAGTAGCAACACAATTTTCTTCAAATGTCTTTTGCAGAAACAATGAATCTAGCTCTCCTCCCCATCAACTATGGGTTCTATAACCATGGTTCTATAGGCTTGGGTGGCAGCCAGTCTAGTAGTGGGAAAAATTCTGAATCCAAAACTTCCAGCTATGGGTAAATAGTAAGGCAGGCTGAGATCTATAGCCATGGTTGGCAACCAGACTAGGAGAACAACTTTGAATTCAAATCTACAGCTGGAGTCAATCAGTCAATCAGTCAGTCCAATGTCATGTTTTGTTCTGGCTGTACTGGCATCTGCCGTTCTCTTGAACAACATCAGTGACATGGATAGCGGAGACAGGCTGCATGGACAACTGCCGATCTCTCATAAAAAAAAAAAAAAACCTACAGAGACCCATATCTAAAAAAATGTTCACAAATCAAGAATGGCACAAGGACAGTTAAAAAGACATGAAGACATGTTTTTATGGAAAGTGAAAAAAAAAACAAGGTTCTAAAGAAATTATAATTTACTGATGTTCAATAAAGTCCGAGCAAGTGTTAAGTTAAGCAATGTCAAGTTTGGAATTGTTAATTGGAGAGCCAAGTTTCAATTCCCATTGGGTTTCTTATATTCGCTTATATGCAAATAACCTTAGAAAAGGTATGAATTCATCTCTTCTCCCTGTGTTATGGGTTAATAAGTAAGATGTGTATCATTGAACCTATTATTATAAAAAAAATTCTTACAATCTAAAACTACTTTTTGGCTTTAAATAACCCGCAAAGGGTTGATAAGCCATAGAAAACTAATGAATCAGATCAAATATTTGGATTCTAACTGTCGTTTTTGCAATTCCTTTTCTTTATTATCTATAAATTTCAATAACCTCTTGGGGAAAAAAACGGTTTTTCTGCTGCCTTTGCCATGGTGTGGAGTAGTATTTTTCTCAAACAGACTTCCACTCTATCCTGCCATTTAACTTATAGCTAGTGAGGGAGGAAATAAACAGGTTCATGCCATTTTCAAGGGCATTTTTGCGAAAGTGACTAAACTGGGACTTGAACTCAACTCGCTAATTCCATTTCCTCTCCTGATCGCCATTATCCTACCTCAATTTTTTTTTTTTTTTAAATATATTACTGGGGGCTACAAAATCTCAATACAATGATACTGGGTACCTTAACCAACTCGGCCGCAGAGCAGCTTTGTTGATCAAGCAAGGTCCGAACAGTGACTTTAAACAAAATCATTCTCATCATAAATTCCTCGAAATTTTCATATCTGCTCAGTTTCATATCCAAATGTAAACAAAACAATTTTCAAAAGAAGTAATGGATTTTTTATTTATTAATCTGATTTTATCACTTTTAAACATTATTCTTAATGGATAATCATATTTGAGTAGACGCTCCATTTATTTATTGAACAGTATATTTATTTATTTTCGTTTACTGGGCAGAATATTTGAGAAATCTTATTAAAAAAATATGCACTTTCCAATAGGATTCAAACCTGCGTACCTGACTCTACTGTTTGATAAATAAACGGAGTGTTTACTCAAATATGAGTATCCACAAATAATGTGATAAAAATCTGCTGGATTAATAAATAAAAAAAATCTATCACTTCTTTATTTACATTTGGATAAAAGATTGACCAGATATGAAAATTTCAAGAATTCTGATTTATTTTCCTGAAACAAGCTACTGACACAACTTTAAATGTGTAACTTTGTGAATAAATTCCTTATCTTGCGTTGTTAAAATTACCTGTATGTTTTCTCGTCATTACCATCCTTCATTAATCTTCTTGGTGTGGGGAAATCAACTGTTCATTTTAACTAAGCCCCATGCCACTATAATGGAATGCCTATATTGGGATGGTTATATGAATTTCTCTCTACCAGCCATTTGAATGTAAGCTTAGTAACCATCTATAATGCCTGTTTTATGGGTTACTGACCTGATGCATTGCGGCATGGGTGAGAAGCACATTCATCAATGTCAATTTCACAAGATTTGCCTGTCAACCCTGCAGGACAGATACAAGTGTAATGGTTTGGTGCACCTTGTATACATGAACCACCATTACGGCAAGGAACAGAGGCACATTCGTTAATATCAGTCTCGCAGTTTCTTCCTGTGAATCCAGGTAAACATCGACACCTGCAAAAAAAGAAAATGAAAAGTAAGACAAGTTTGGTGAAAAGTTTGCATGTTTTGAAAGAGAGAGATTGAAGAATAAATGGTCATATATCTTTTTGATCAGTGATGACCTCACATTGGATAAAATGGATCATAGAACATGGAATATTGCTGTCATATATGGACTGGTGTTCCCGCTGTATGTCTCGAGAATGAAATTAATGGTCAATCAATGTTTTCAACTATCCTCTTTAAAGTTATTTTTATCAGAAACTTTGAAATTATATTTTAATATTAAATTCATATTTTGGTCTTTGGTTCTAATGATAGTATTAAATGAATTGTTTAGAGTATCTGTCTTCTTAATCACACCGAAAATGGTTGCTTACAAAAGAACATTGCTTACCTATAAAAGCCTGATACCTTTTTCAGACAGATACCATCATTTTGACATGGCCTGGATGCACAATAATCAATCTCCCCCTGGCATGTTGGTCCTTCAAACCCGGGCTGACACTGACAAAAAAACACACTAGGAGGTCCTTCATGGCACTGACCATTATTGTGACATGGATGACTTGCACATTCATCAATGTCCACCCCACATAGAGTGCCATTAAATCCTGGTAGACATTCACAGACAAATTGGCCTGGCTTTCCTTCATGACATGAGCCACCATTTAAACATTGGTTGTCTTCACATTCATTATGGTCAATTTCACACCTGAAGAATTAAAATGGAGACAGTCAAAAGATGAGGCAATGCTCTTTCTTCAGAATATGAAATTATGAAATACTTTTTTAGGGAATTATTATAACTAATATTTTTGCGATTTTTTTTATGACTGCATTTCTCTCAGTAGGATCTCTAGACTTTTACAGTCTGGGATCAAAACACTACGAAAGTATAAAAATACATTTTTATAATAAAAATTCCAGCAATAAATTTTAAAAGTAAAAAAAAATATTTCCAACTGTAGATTTTAATAGGAAAAAAAATCAGCAATAAATTTTAATAGAAAAAAAATGACCAAAACTCCTCAGAAGATTAAATGTCGGTATTAAATGACCCATAAGCAGTTGATATGCCGTTAAACAAAACAAACCAAACTAAATTTAGACTTCCTCAATATTGTTTAAAATTTTGAGATGTGTTATAATTTCAGAAATGGTAATATTAAAACACAGTTGGCCCCAACGAAAATATTTAAGAAGAGTTATCCCCCTTTGGCCAGAAGGCTTTTTTCGAAGGACAGGGCATTCTGGGTACAAGGTGTTTCGGCGGTAATACGAAGGTGTGCTAGACACTTCCTCATGCCCACATCTTATCATTACGCATCCAGCGGTTCCACTCACTATTCGAATTGTATTTCAATTAATAATGTTTTGTTAATAGTTTTTCCTCTCGTTTCATCCGTTTATCTTTCTTTATTCATATATGTTGACCCCCTGGGAACCATAACAAAATTGGCGACGAGGTACATCTGAACAACGTGTACACACACACACACACACAAGGATGGATTCAACAATTCACCAACTCTTACAACAACAACTCCGCTTGCTAGAATTATTCTCTGAGAAATTTTCTGCATCCACATCGGCGCCTTCAGAAACAAAAATATTCACATCAACAGAGGCGGTGGCACGTTCAATCACGAAATTCCACTATGACCCGGCTAATAAACAGACTTTCTGCACATGGTTTGCACAATTCGAGCATCTTTTCCGGGTGGAATTTGAAGAAGAGGCGGGCGATTGGAAAGTCAAGCTCCTTTTACAGAAACTTGGACCCTCTGAACGCGATCGCTACACAAAATACATTTTACCGAAACTCACGTGCGACAACGATTTCGACGAAACAGTTGAGACACTGCGCCAGATATTTGGTGATCAAACTTCTCTTTTTAATATGCGGTTTAATTGCCTGAATATTACAAAGTCTGACTCAGTCGACTTTGCTACGTATGCTGGCATCGTGAACAAAGAATGTGAGAGATTTAAAATCACCCCAATCACCGACGCACAGTTTAAGTGTTTAATCTTTATATGTGGTTTGAGGTCGCCATGTGATGCGGACATTCGCACAAGGATTCTATCCAAAATTGAACAAAACCCTGATATGACTCTGCATCAAGTTGCAGCGGAGAGTCAACGACTGGTAAATCTTAAACACGATTCGACTCTGACACAACAGTCGGTACCTTCAACAACAGCCGCGGTAAACACTGTTGAAAGACGACGCAGTACTACACCACCGGCTTTGACAAACAAAAACAAGAAACCTCCATCTCGTTGCTGGAATTGTGGCCACTGGCATTTTGTTCGGTTTTGTCCATTCAAGTTTCATCGCTGTCGAAAATGTAAGCGAAAGGGACACAGAGAGGGATTCTGCACCCGATCATGGCGCAAACCAAAACACAACACAAAGCAGCCACATGAAGACATTCAAGGTATGAAAAAACACACCAACAGGTCTGGTCAGCAGAACAAGCCATCTCCTTCACCCGCCATTCAGGAAAATCGAAATGAAGGTGAGAGTCTTCACAGACACAAGGAAAAGCGCAATCGTATTACGGTGAGACACCTTCAAGTTGATCCTAAGCGTGCGCGATACGATTAAAAAAAAATACTTAAACAGTTGGCCCTCTAATGAAAATAAGAAAAGTTGGTTAATTTGCAGTTAAGCACCAAAAGCACACGGTAATGAAAATGTTATTGTTAATGTTACATTTAGTGTGAAACTGCCTGATTATTTCGAAAATGACATTAAAAGTTTGGGTTAATTTGCAATATAAACACCAAAAGCCCCCGGTAAAGAGAATCTACCTTTCTGGTGTTGAATTGCCTGATTATTTCGAAAATGACCTTAAAACATTGCGCTTGATTACCGTTTACGATTTATCGCCAATGCAATTTCGATCTCTTTCGCGTTGTCAGGTCGCCATTGCTTATGACGTTGTTTTCATACGTTTTTTGCCTCGAGTCATAATGCGCGGAAGCTTACTTAACGGCCTTTTTACAGCTTTTCGTATCTAACTCGTCTTGATTACTGCGCAATTTTCACGGATGTTATTTTAAAACTGGCTTTTCTATTTTAAAATGCGCTTCTTTTTTTTTTTTTTTTTTTACTGAAGTTTTAAATGAATATTTTTTTATTAATTTGGTTTAAATTTGTTATAGAAACAATTGAAAGCTTTTCTAAATAAATATGAACTCTTTTTCAAAAAATATTCTTATGAAGGTTTTTTAAATGAATATTTTTTTTTTTTTTTTTTTTTTTTTGTGGTATAAATTCTTTTTCCAATTAGAAGTGTTGTTTCTTTGTGGAAATGAAGCTTTAACTAATGAACTCTTTTTTTTATTAACTTGTTTGAAAGCTATTCTAAATAAATATGTTGAACCCGTTTTCCAAAAATGTTCTTAAGACAATATTGTCCTTAATAAATCTGCTTATAGCAGTAGTATTTAATGAAAACAGGAGACAAGTTATGTCAGGGCTTGTTCAGCTATTTTTTGTCTACACTGAACCTTAATGCAAGGGGCATAACTCTTGAGGAATTATAACATCTTTTTTTTACACAAAAAAACGTTTTTTTTCTCTTGATCATTTAATACAGTTTTTTTTAACTCTTTCCTTTTTAATTTTATTTTATATTATAAAACACAAGAAATAAAATAAATGTTCTGTTGTGTTCATATAGATTCATCTTTTTCTTTTTTATGAGAAGTACAAAAAAAAAAGGTTTTTTGTGTTCACACATTTTTTTATAAGAAATACAACATTAAAAAAAGGTTTTGTGTTTTCATCTGGCCTTATTATTCGGTCAGATTTGGTTGATTTGTTTTCTGTTGTGTTATTGCGTGTATGTGTTTCATGAGGGATGTGTTTGGGATGGGGTATTTAGTATTTCTGTTTGGTTATTTGGTGATGGGTTGGTTTCCATTTAGTGATCCCTGCTGGATGCCTTGTGTGTTTAGGTGGGTTGATTTCCACTCTGGCTGTTATGATTTCTGGTGGATATCTTGTGTTTTCGGTTCCTGTGGAAGACCTGTCCAGATGGGGTCTGAATTATGTAGGACCTTGGTTGGCATGACAACTGCAGGGTTCCATTTATTTGTGCCCTTATGCATTCTAACATGTCCTATTTGGATTCCAGGGAGATCTTTTGCATGTTGGTCATAGTATGCTTTTTGCACAGCTTGTCTCTTGTATAACCAGGCAGCTATTTCAGCATTTTGTGTATTGTGGTTAGTACATCTTACTGGGATGTTGCTAACCAATTTTCTGTTGAATAACAGTTTCCCTGGTGATCGTATTGTGTGGGTCTATTGGAGTTGTCTGGAGGCACAGCAATACCATGTCAATGTCACGGCTGCTCGATTTAGCCTTTTCGATGGCAGATTTCATTGACTTCCACAACATTCTGCAAGTCCATTGAACTGTGGATATTACAGATGATGTGTTGTGATCAAATCCCCATTCTTTCGCAAACTGCTTAAATGCTGCTGAGTTGTAATGCGGACCATTGTCACTGATCACCCTCTCTGGGACTCCTTGCTCACCAAACAATTGCTTGGGTTGTGTTTATCACTTCCTGGCTGGAGAAATCATTTAACCTCCACACAAAGGGGTATTTTGAGTAATAGTCCATAATGAGAATATAATTTAATCCATCAAAGTAGAACAAGTAAGTGGCTACTATTTGCCATGTTCTTACTGGAATCTCATGTGGCATCAGGGTTTCATTGTTCTGTATCTTTTGGTGTTCCTGGTACGCATCACATTGCTGGATTAACATGTCAATGTCTTGGTTGACGTTGTGCCAGAACACACAACTTTTTGCTCTTAACTTGTGCTTTTCAATTCCCTGATGGCCATAGTGGATCTTCTGAAGTACCTCTTCTTGCATGGATTTTGGGATAATGATTCGCTCACCCTTGAGCAAGATCCCATTTTTTATGGATACATCATCCCGATACGGCCAGTATGGTTACATATGCTTGTCAACTTCTTCAATTGCATCGGGCCAACCTTGTAAGATGATGTTCCTTACTTTGCACATTGTTGGGTCAGCATTAGATGTCTGTTGAATCTGTGCTAACTTTTGTGCTGAAAATTGCACAAAAAAAATCATCCACTAGCGCCATTTCTTTGCCTGGGTGATAGACAATTGTCATGTCATACTCTTGTAGGTGTAATAACATTTGCTGGAGGTGAGGCGGGGCTGCAGTCAGGTTTTTTAGGTTGATCATCTCTAGAGGCTTGTGATTACTTTCCACTTGGAAGGCATAACCATAGATGTATGTTCGGAAACGCTCACATCCAAGCACAACAGCTAGGAGTTCCTGCTCAATATTAGCATATTGCTGCTCTGTTTCCATCAGTGATTTCGATGCAAATACTATGGGTTTTCTCTCCTGTGCTAAACTGCACCTAGGCCTCTACTGGATGCATCTACCTGGATCACAGTTTCTTTTTCCGGATCATAGTACATCAGCAGCATTTCTTTACAAATCAGGTCTTTGATTTTTTGTAAGGACTTCAGGTGACTTTCAGTTCACCTGTACTCTGGTTCATTTTTTAGTAGATCTCTCATCTGTGATGTGAGATCAGAGAGATGTGGAATGAAGGGTGCCATTTAGGTAATGATTCCTAGCACTCTTTGTAGGTATGCGACGCTTTTCAGGCTAGGTAACATTTTAATTTCCTCCACATTTTTGGGGGTCAGGGCATGCTCCATTTTTGTCATATGGTCCCAAAGAAGTGCATCTGCTTTTGGTCTATTGTGCATTTTTTGCTGTTAAACCTGAGCCCTTCAATCTACACTATCTTCATCAGGTTGTGCAGATTTCTGTCATGTTCTTTGGTTTTGCCATAAACTATGACGTCGTCTGTTAGTCCTAATGTACTAGGGTATTCTTCCAGAATCATATCCATTTTCTGATGGAATACATCCTGGGACATGACTAGGCCAAAAGGCATTCTATAGAAGCAATATCTTCCAAAAGGAGAGTTGAAGGTGGTCAGTAGCTGTGATTCAGGATCAAGCTTGATCGACCAGTATCCATTCTTTACATCCAATTTGAAAAAGTACTTGGCATCAAAGAGTTTGTGCACAAGCACCTCCATTGTGGAAGTCTTATGGTGACATTGCATGATGGCTCTGTTTAAATCCTTGGAGTCCAATCACAGACTGAGTTTGCCATTACTCTTGCAAACATACACTAGGCTGTTAACCCATTTTGTAGGCTCACTTACTCTGTGAATGATTCCGTTTCATCATGTCATCCAGCTTGGATTTAATCTCATCTCTCATATGGATGGGACATTTCCTGGGTGTTTGGCTGACAGGATGGTTGTCTGGTTTTAGGACAATATGGTATTTGTCTGTGAAACTTGCCTATGCGGTTGAACTGATCCAGGTATATATCTCTCAGGTCCTTCACAGAGTTGATCTGTGCCTGGTTCTCTTGGATGACACGGTGCATCGTAATGAGTTGCAGGTCTCTGAGTGATGGTAGTCGTATTATTGTTGGTCCCTCTGAGGTTACCACAAAGAACTTGAGTGTTTTTCCACTCTCCTTTGTATGTGCACTGTATGCTAATAGAAGTATGTTGAGGAATGCTGGATCCATTATATGCAGTCAGTACAGTTGACTCTTTATGCATTGCACCAGAGAGTGGCTGTCCAGTGGTACTGACTTTGCGAAGGAACATCTTGTGGTAAACATATAAGGAGAGAGTATTGTCTTCAGCTCTTGTTTGGCTTTTAGTTTGTGGGTGCCTGGTAGGTTGGAAAGCTTGATGTCAATTTCTGCAAAAACCTCAGTCCTTGTGTCTTTTTTATTTTGCCACTTAATTGCATCAAACGACACTTGTGCAAATTGTTCATATAAATTGTCACCTTGACAGGCATTAAGTGAGTAGACACAGTTGCTACGTTTCTTGTTCTGATGCCTGTACTGCTGGTCTCCATGGGTTTCCCAGTATTAAATTTCTGTCTATTTTGCGTGATGTGTGTTTGTTGGTGTCTTCCTTTCTTTTCTTGTCTGTTTGTCGGCTGGCATGTTTTTTACAGAAAAATAGAGGCAACATCGCTGTTTAAAAGATATGAAGGAATCTACCAGATTTGTAGACACCCAGAGCATCACTGGCTCTGAAACGTTATTATCCATTATGCAAATAGCAAAAACAATTGAAATATAGTGAAGACGTTTGACACACTTGTTTTGTTTCAGTGTACATTTTTTACTGCGAACATTTTTTTTTTTCTTTTTTTTTTTTAAATTCGCAAATGGCCGGAGGTAGCAGTTTTTTTTACTTCTTTTGCTCATAAACCTTAAAAAGGGGTCTTAAGTCCATTTTCTTGGCATCACCTTTTCTTGGTTATTATTGTCCGGTAGTGTATTATTTTTCTGCTGAGAATATTTTCATTTTACCACTGCCACCATAGAATGAAGACAGGAGACACTTAAATACGTCAGGGCTTGTTCAGCCATCTTTTTATTCTGTCTATACTGAACCCTAATGCAAGGGGCATAACTCTTGAGGGATAATTTTGACAATAGCTAATGAAACAGAATCTCACCCTAAAATGCAATTTATGAAGCTTTAAATGAATAGTTTTTTTGTGGAACTGAAGCTTTATTAACTAATGATTTCTTTTTTTTTATTAAATTGTCTAAATTTGTTATAGAAAAATTGAAACCTTTTACCTTTAAAATTTAAAAAAAAAAAATCATTGTTGAAGAAAAAGAACTTCATTATTTTTTTATCCTTTCGGGCACATCAATTTGATTTTATCTTTTTTTTTTTTTACTGATATATTTAGAATCGCATACCCTGATGAAAAAAGGACCCAAACTTGATTAAACCACTTTTTTTATTGTCTAAATGTTTATGTTATTATTAAGAAGAAAGACCAAAGTATTTTTTTAATATTTAAAAATTTTTTTAATCCTTTAGCTAAAAATCCTGTTTTTTTTTTTGAGTAAGCAAAATTGACGTAAAGTCAATCATGTCAGCCATTATTGACGGTTTTGTAAACAAAAGTGAATTTCTCTGTGTAAAAAGCTTGTAAAATTCAATTATACTCTTTTCAAAAGTTATTTTAGGAAAATTAAAAAATTTAAAGTATGCTTAATGTAATTTGGAACAAACATTACTTAATTTTTTAGTAGAAAAAAATTTAGTTGGAAATAAGAGAAGCATGTCTAACAGTGGTGATTGGTTTTGGACAGGTACTTTCACTTTTTCAGCATAAATTTTCAATATGTAAGGTTTAAAATGAATTTTTAAAAATGAAAAAGCATACTTGAAGATTTCATTTTAGCTTTAATTGAAAGCCAAAGGATTAAACTTATTTCCAGTAAGTAAAATATTCTGGAGTATTTCAGATAGAAATTATATAGACTGGAATATCAAATTTAATTTCGATTTCTTAAAATTATCTTAAAAGTGGCCATTTTCTTAATTTTAAGAAATTTGTAAACAAAACAAATTTATCAATTTTAAAACTCTTCCAAAAAATATATATATATTTCTGACACATTATTTGAGTAAAATTAGAAAATTTAAAGTTAAATTAATTTGATTTGAAATAAATATTACTTATGGCATAAAAAAGTAATATACAACTATTTGTTATTGATCAGCCCTGTTTATCCGAAGTGATGATTGATGGATGATTGAGTGATGAATCAATGACAGCTAGTATGGCTGATTAGAATTGACAAAGTTTACGAAATCTAAGTGAATACATTTTTTTGGTTTTTAACTACCTAGTAATTTTTACAAATGAACATATTTTCTGCAATTATTTAATAATTTATTGACTTTTATTTATCTTTCAAAGATGCTTTATGCAAAAGGAAAAAAATTTAAAATGCTATAAAATTTTCTTAAATTAACTTCTCTGTAAATTCTTCGATCACATGACCTTTTCATAATAATGTCATGTTTAGCTTTTCATAGATGAAAAGAGGTAACAAATTAAGTAAAAAAAAAAAAATTATTTTAAAAATAGAACCGTGTAACTACATGTATTAATCTTTTCAATTTTGGTTTCATAAATTTTTTTCCATTTAATTACTATATTACATCCAGGAAATAGCCAAATTTTACACGATTTTAAACTATAAATTTTTATAATTAAAATTTGAAAAAAATCAAAAATTTCTTGTAAAAATTCATTATTCATTGGAAAAATTTTATTTCTTCAGACAATAATGTCCTTAGTATAACTTATTTACAAAAGCAATTAAAAGCTTTTCTAATTAAATAATGTCATAGTTTTATTGCATTTATTATTTTTCAATTCAGAGCAAATTTTCAGTTAGAATACGGCAAGTTTGAAAAAAAAATTAGGTGATTTGCATTCTTCAAGAAGTTCTATTTTTGATGAATAT